CCCCCTAATCTCAAAGTGCCTAAGGTAAGTACACTGAAACTGTTCCCTCAAAGTTCTGGTTTCTTAAGGTCATTTATTATACTTGTTTCATCATTCAGGAATGCACGAAACTCTACCTTGTAAAGTTACCAGCCAGTCGAAAGTTCATTGTACCAAAGAACCTTAAACTGCTTGCAGTTCCTTTATGCCAAGTTCATGAAAATCATAAGGTATAACTAACTATTTAAGAGGATCGGCAAACATCAATGGTGTTTGGATGTCCGTAGAGATGAAATCAGTGCTCAGATTTTTATTTTACAGAAGATTTATTTGGCTTTATTGCATTGTCGAATGCATTTAAGTAGTCCTTGAGAGATGAAGTTTGGGGGATATTGATGGGCTGCTGTCTTTCCCTTCAGTCTTGTTGATTGTAGTCTAATATTCGTATTGCATCACTAACTTGTTTCTCCAATTGCTATCTGATTGCTCCTAAATCCTATCTGATTCAATTTCTTTGTTAAAATTTCCTAAAGGTGGTTTTCATTTCTAATGCTCACCAATTATAATATTTTGTAGACATATGGACCAATAATATCAGGAGTTCCGCAGTTGCTATCAAAATTCTCCCTCAACATCAACCATTGAAGAAGTCTTGGTCACTGTGATGTGGATGCTATGAGTTAAGTATAGAGAAAATAGTATAATGTTTACCTGGAAATAATTTTTGTCCCAGGGATATGTACTGTTAGTGAAATCTTGAACGGATGTGTTGTTTTTACCAGACGTTTTACAAGCTGTAGCTGTTGATGCTTTGTAATGAAAACATATCAAGTTTTTGTGTTACGGTATTGTTTGGATGTTCAATGCACATAATATAGTTCAACACGAAGTTTTTATGTATTTATTTGCCATTGTTTGGAACTCGTGATAGTACATCCAAACTGAGTTTAGCAAAGAACCAAAAGGCATTAATAATGTGAAACTGAAGAAAGATGTTACCTTTATCCATATCATGCCAGTCCAAGAAATATGTATTTTCAATGTTTATTTCCCTAGATTTTCATTATTTAAGGCTCATAAATAAACAAGATTTTAATCCAAGCATGAAATCCTTGAAAAGAAGAAATTATTAACCTGTCTCCTGTACTTGATGTTTGTGAATCCTGAACTTCGAAATGCTGGCATCCAATAATGATAATCTCTGCTCAGACTGAGAACTACAGTTTTCAAGTTTTAACATGTTTTCTGGAGGCGTTCAGGTCAATGTATTTTTTTCTTGTTATACTTGCTGAGGAAGCAAGCTTCCTTTAACTTACTGCTATCTTCTAGTTTTTTCTAATTATTTGAGCATGGTGAGGAAACTAGCTTCTTTCATCATACATAAAGCTTGTAGGCTGGTACTGTCACAAAATTCTTGTCCGTGTTGCTGTCAGACTCATTTATTCTGGCCAACTACAGCTAATTTTCATGTTGGATGAATATTATTTTATTGTTGCTGCTTCATGCGTTAGACGTAAGACTGGAGTTAGGTTTGGCTATTTCCATCAGCTAGCTTCAACTTTTAGCTTGATCTTTTAAAAACAGAGTTACTGGCAAAACCTGTGTTGAGTGACAATGGTGAAGCAGTTGGCTTATCTCCTGGTTGTTGCAAGTTATTCTGCTGCACTAATCTAACCTTTTTCCACCCATACCAAACACTTCGCCAATCATATCGAGGCTATATGGAAAGGGTTTGAGTTGGCCCCCATATTTCAAGTTGTAAGCACCATGCCCTGCAAAGATATTGCACTTGGTGGGCTCTGAAATATTGAATGGAGGGAGAAGTTTCCCATTTCTCATACCTGTGCATGTCTGTCCATTGCATAGGCCACGGTTTATAAAAGAGAGAGAGAGAGAAAAAAAGCTTGTGGTTTTAATTGGGTCATGACAACTAGAGAGATGACAGGCAAATCATGAATCTATTGACAACAAGGGCTGCGGTGGTGGCAGCAGCAGCAAAAGATTAGAAACGTCTGTTTCCACCTTATCCGCTAAACCTCCATTGGCTTGGTTTTTAGCGAGTTCAAGAATAAGGATTCAGCGAGGTCAGTTACCTTGAATGATAAATAACAGGTTATTTATTATTATTATTATTATTATAGAGGAGAGGATGCTTTCTTTCGCAGTCTGCAAAGCAATTGGTTGAATTCTTTGTGTTCATAACTGTGGGAGCTTTTATTTTTGCTTTTCCTATTTCAGTTTTAAAAAATAGGTTAAAAAATATTTTTATTTATGGTTTTAAAATATATGTTTTGATTAAAATTGTTTGTACGCAAAATAAATAAAAATTAAGTTTTCAGGGATAAAAAATATATTATTTTATCTTTTATAAAAGCAAAATTTAAAACATAATTATACATGAGATTCAGTGTAAAAAATATAAGTTATTTAGTTACCCAAACAATTTTTTTACAGTTGAGCAAAAACACAAAAACTATCACGTTATCAGATAAATATTATTTTAATATTAAAAGTAAAAATAATAATAAAAAAAAAATTATAGGGATATACATAATGGGGAAGGTCATTTAGTTTATTTCATGGAAAAAACTAGCAGGAGTGTGCTGATTGAGGTAAAATTTGTGCCAATAGTCATTTCCTTTTCTATTAAAATAGAAGCTAAAAGAAACTAGAAATTGGCTGTTTATCAAAACATAGTTTAATGTAGATTGGAATATTAAAATTACTATTTTAGCTTTTAAAAAAACTAACAAAGCTTGAATTAAAGGTAATAACATTTCTTTTCAGGGGATCTATTGGATATTATCAAATTGCTTGGAGACAAATTGGTATGTGTATTTTATTTTTTCACAGTAAAATAACTTTATTATTCTTAAAAATAAAAAAAAATATAACTTTCATCTAGGTATTCATATATTAGAATTTTTTTTCAATTTTTTTTAATTTTTTTCATATATTAGATTTGATCCCTATTTTTTTTATTCCTATTTGTTTTATGTAAGATAATTTTTAAAATCGAATAGAAACTATTCATGATTTTATCCTCTTGCAATTTTTTCCCTATAAGATTTTATTCTCATTATTTTGATTGCTATTTTTGTTTTTTGCTATGGTAGATTTTCAAATTGATATTTTTTTATTTTTTTATTTAATATTTAAATTAGTAGGGAATTGAGTTTCTTGATTAAACCTAGGTTTAGGATTTCATAGATTGTGAATTTAAAAAATTAATCAAGATTTAGGAGATTCGTTCGAGTTTAATTTTTTTAAGTTCATATTTTTCAGTTTTATCTTTCAATATTTATTTAATTAGAGATTGATTTTTTTATTTTTTTATTAGATTTCTCATTGATTTTGAAAATAAAACTGAGTTATTCTATCTTTAAACATTGAATTATTTGATAATTAAATTTTAAAATTTTATTCAATTTATTTTCAAAACCGAGTCATTGATTTTTGATGTTGACCAAGGTGAACTAAAATAGAGTTTTTCTCATTTCTTTTGCATAAATTTCACAAAAATTATAAAAATGAGAAGAAACCTTAACAAAAACCACAAAGACATGCATTCATTTCTCAAGCATGCATAGGGATAGCCACATTAACATTCTCGAGCAAGTATGGCTATAAAGATAATATTTATACAATAAGTATTTTTCTTCTTTATTTCTATTAATCAAAATCTTAAATATGTACAATTTAAAAGACATTTTAATAAATAATAATAATAAAAATAACAATAAAATAACCTCGATTGAGCTATAACTATTTGTTTAAGATTGTAATTATAGTTATTTTTCATGCTAAAATATATTAAAATAATATTTTTTTATTTTTAAAAATTTATTTTTAAAATCAATATATCAAAATAATTTAAAATATATAAAAATTAATTTTTAATTAAAAATTAATTAAAATATTTAAAAATATAATTTATACCGCATTTCAAATAATCTCTTCTCCCTCCAATCTTTATTTTCCTCTGACTATCCACCTCTTTTCGGGCACACACCTCATAATATTTTTATTCCTAAGAAAGCACAACCTAGCACGCACCACACCACACCACACCATCTTCTCTCATCAATAGCCAATCTCTCTCGAACCAAACTTTTTCATTAATTGTCATCCCTAATCGACCTGAATAGATAATACAGGCACTTGTTATCATATACAAATTCAATATTATTATGATGGTGATATGGTGTTATTCTCACTCCGTAAATTGTTAAAGATATTCATATTTATTACGAGTTTTATTAATAAATTATTCCTTTATCCTTAGTATATAATTATAGTATTTTATTAAGATAGAATCAGACTTTATTGAGATTTTTTTAATTATTAAATTAAAAATGAATTCCAATACAAAACAAGAAGCACATAAAAAATGAAGTAGTTTTTAAAATTTTAATTAATTTATTATATTTTCTGAAATACATGTTTTATTCATGAATAATATTTGAAAAAATAAATTATTTAATAAGAAAAAAATTGTAATATGACCACAACTTTTTCTTGACGAGATTAAATTAAGTATTAAGTAATAATGATAAAAGAAATAAAATTGCAATATAAAAATCACAAAAAAAGATCTTATATTAATCAGATTTCTTAGTTTTAAATGTAATATAAACATTTTATATATTATCATTTGTAAAAAATATTTATAGGTATTTTAATAAATTTAAATAAGAAAAATAAATTATGAAATTAGATTAACCATCTATGAAATGGCAATGCTATAATTTTTTTATTCAAATTATAAATTTTTTGGTTATTGTTAAAAGTTTGTTTGTTATTATGGTAATGATTATTTTTTAAAATATTTTTTATTTTAAAATATAATAGAATAATTTTTTTATTTTAAAAAATTATTTTTGATATTAATATGAAGTAAAAATTGAAAAAATATATTTTAAAATATTTTTGATATTAATATGAAGTAAAAATTGGAAAAATATATTTTAAAATATAAAAAATAAAAAATTTAAAATTTTAAAAAAAGGAGGGGAAGAGGAGGGAATCGCAGGAGTGGAAAAGTAAACGGGGAAAAAAAAGGAAAGGTTCAGCTTCTTCCGGGTCACTGTAATGGTCATTGAGTAGTACTGCCTGCACTACCCATAAGAATTATTACTCCTTTCCATTTCATGCCACTTCAACAGATTTACTTATTTATGCAGCATCCACAGCCACAGGCACAGCCCACCTTTTGATTTTGATTTTCCTCAGAGACTAGCAAATGAAGAAGGGAAGCTTAAACCCTAATGTCAAGCTCAAGCTCTCTCTCCCTCCTCCTAAGGAAGTTTCCTTCGCTAAGTTCCTGTAAAAATCTACCTCCCTTTCTCATCCTATAAGCTCATGTCATGATTCTTAATTTCGGGTAATGATTGCAGAACCCAAAGCGGTACGTTTAGAGATGGTGATCTGCTTGTCAATCGAGACGGTGTTCGGATTGTCTCTCAAATCGATACCCAGCCTGTAAGATTAACTTTTCTCATAATCTCAATATCTTTATTATTACATCCGCGCCTCATCATTATCATTGATTATGCTAGTAATTGATCCCTCTCGAATTTGTTTGCACTTGGTTTTTTATGATTTTTTTTAAAAAAAAAGAGTTTTTGTCTGACTGTTTTCAGCCACCACCTATAACGCCCACAGACAACCAATTGAGTTTAGCGGATATAGACATGGTTAAGGTCATCGGGAAGGGAAGTAGTGGAATTGTGCAGTTGGTGCAACACAAATGGACGAGCCAGTTTTTTGCCTTGAAGGTATCATCGTATAATTCACCGCTACCGTACTCTCACTCGCTTTTTGTTTTTTTAATTACAATTTCCATCTTGGTCTGTAAGTATGGTATCAGATCAGTTAATGCCTGAAGCTGCTGTGCTGCCCGATTAAATTATTGTGAGACATGCTGCATGGGTTTTTCCACTGGTTTCTGACGTCTCAAAATGACTTGTTTACTAACATTTTTAAACCTTGAGTTGGATAAGGAATACCTAGTCTTCCGCCATTGGGGCACCAGATTCCTTCTTTGCCTTTTGCCATAGTTTAATTTTATCAACCCATTTCCACTCGAACTAGATTTTCCAGATTTAAGTTTTGAGAATGGAAACCTCCTTTTCATTCATATCTTCTAGTTTGCTAAAAATAGAGCAATAACATGGTGCTTCTACTAGCCCTTCAGTCCTTTATTTTCTGATATTTTGAGTTGAACTTGGGCTTGCACTCTTGGAGGGATAGGTCTCTCACAGTTATTTTGAATATTGCTTTTACATCATATGTAAAGTGGTTTCAACTGAAAATTGCTCTAATAAACTCTACCGAGATTACTCCCTGGTATTCTGGGAGGGATGCTTATCATCTTTTGGTTTCTGTTTGGTTATTAATTTGTTTATTTGTTGTCCACTGAATGTGTATGCCTCGTCCTTTTCATGTCCATTCCCAAGTAATAAAGATTTGGCATTCTTGTTCCATTTCAGGTTATCCAAATGAATATTGAAGAGTCTGCACGCAAGGCCATTGCTCAGGAACTGAAAATTAATCAGTCATCACAATGTCCTTATGTTGTCATGTGCTACCAGTCTTTTTACGATAATGGTGCCATTTCAATTATCTTAGAGTACATGGATGGTGGATCTCTAGCAGATTTTCTGAAAAGTGTTAAAACAATTCCAGAACCATATCTTGCTGCCATCTGTAAGCAGGTTAAAACATGGAAAATCATTTCACCCCTTGTTCTCTATACTTATAGCAGATACCAATTTCTTTATCATCCAACTTGTTTATCTGTTGTCCCATAAATGCAGGTGCTCAAGGGTTTGTTGTATCTTCATCATGAAAAACACATCATCCACCGGGATTTAAAACCTTCTAATTTGTTGATTAATCATAGAGGAGAAGTCAAGATTACAGACTTTGGAGTGAGTGCAATCATACAAAGCACGTCTGGACAGGCTAATACTTTTGTTGGCACTTACAACTATATGTCTGTAAGTAATTTGATTATACATAAGATATTAATGCCGGATTTTCTCTCTTTTACAACAGCATTTCCACTTTCTCAGGCAACCATTATGCAGCCTGTATCTGAAATTTGTAAGATTTTATTATTTTGTAGCCTGAGAGAATTAGCGGGGGACGATATGACTATAAAAGTGACATTTGGAGCTTGGGTTTGGTATTGCTGGAGTGTGCAACCGGTGAATTCTCAATTACCCCTCCTGTGCCGGATGAAGGCTGGACTAACGTCTATGAACTTATGGTAGCCATTGTTGATCAACCTCCACCTTTTGCACCACCAGACCAATTTTCTCCAGAGTTTTGTTCATTTATATCTGCATGGTAAAGATAAGTCATGCTTGAAGTTTCTTAATGCACCTTCTAGTACTCATATAGCACCGATCCTTTCATATTTTTTCCCCATATAAATTTATTTGTTTTTGAGGATGTTCATTTACTGTTGAATTAAGATCAAGAAAAAAAAAAGCAAGTATTTTTTTATCCATGTCCAATGCTTTTCCATTTATTTCTAATCTTTTTCTTCATTTTCGAAATATCATCGGATGAGAACTCATTTTCCCTGATCTTTGGCATGCTCCACATAATTTGGTTTTAGGGCTGCAAGCTGCTTTTTTTTTTAAATGGGAATTTAATGCTCTGGTTTTTACCCATTTTCAAAACCTTTGTAGTAACTTTGATCTGGATAATCTTGTGAAGTTACTGATTTTCATTCCTTGGTTTTTTGTTTTCTTTCCTCTTCTTTTGTTGCCAGTGTGCAGAAAGATCCAAAGGATAGACAGTCAGCACATGAACTAATGGTATTTGAAGTCCCATGATTGTTCTTCTGGGTGGGGCAATTAGCTGCCCACCAAGTATTAATGGCACTTCATGTCCGCTCTCTAACACTCTTTTCTCATCTCTATCAGTATGGATTGCTATTAATACTCGGCAGAGTGCTAATAACACCCCCCCCCCTCCTTTTAGCCATGTATATGCTATAAGTGGACACTCACAGATCTGACTTTTTTTTCCCTTTCTAATTTCAATACCAGAAACACCCATTCATAAACATGTATGAGGACCAGCATGTGGATCTCTCGTCATACTTTACAAATGCCGGTTCTCTTGCAACCCTTTGAAACTTGTGGTAAGTCTAAGTTTTCCATTTATATCCTTGCTGAAATCATTAGTTCAAGTTTCTTTGTATGGAGTTCATGTGAAGATGTAGTTGCATAATCCAGGTCTTATAATCATATAAAAGTTAAGCCTGTTTGTCTATTTGACTAATGCATTTACCGTGTGAACCATAATTCTTATGAGAATTCATGTTCTTGAGCTTAGCCTATTGTGCTTGACAAAAGTTCTTCTTTACTAGCAGATACCCGATGATCGCGATCTTGAAGGCCTGAATAAAGGTTCTTAAATGTCATCGTGGCTTAAAATAAATCAACTTGCTGCAATTACAATTTCCAGGGCAGAGGTTTTTAAAGCATTTGCAATTCACAAAACATCCCAGGGTCGTAGTATTTAATGTATGCCATGCACTAATCATGGAATAGAAAACGTATGGTTTCAAGGAAGCTTCTGGTTTGTGAGAGATATCATTGGAATATGGTTTCCTGTATAACTTACCGAAATGATCTGATTTTTTTTATTGTTTTAGTTGTATGTTGAGTGTTGCAAATGCATCAAACTCCTATTTGAAAGGTGTCAATACATGGCTGTGTGTGACTTTGAGCTTGCAAACTATGAGGAGCTCACGAGTCCTTTTACCATTTTATGGCTCATCTGTCTACGTTTTTGAGCAGTCACGAGCTGGTTTTCCTTGACAGAATCGTAGTTGGACAATCCGAAGAGTTGCTCGCTTGTGATCATGTCCGTTCCATGAGAGTACTCTGTATAGGTTTATCACGGGAGACACTGAACTTGCTGATCAAGAAGATTTGAAGAAACTAGTTTGAGCTCTATAGCCTAGCAACTAGACCTCTGAGCGAGCATTTAAAATAGAATACTTTATTCTATTCTCAAGAAAGAAAAAAACAATTTTTTTTAAAAAAACATAACATTCCCAAAAGGACTAAATTATTAAGAAATTAAAATTAGGGACTAAATAAGTAGTTTTTAAAACTGAGGATGAATTAATTAGTTTTGTTCAACCACACGTACTAATTAGGGACTAACACCGGCATCTTTCCTTTTTCGTATGATTTTCGCGTATATCGGTCTTCAAGGGTTTATTTGGTATCATTTCGGTTTTCATTTTTTCTTTTTATGTTCAGATTTTTGAAAAAAAAAAACTAGAATTTTTTTTTTTATTGTAATAAAAAGTCCAAACCAACAACTACAGTCACAATATTTGAAAACCACTAGGTTTTGAGAGATTTTGACAATCAATTGTTGGTTTCTTACATTTTCAAAAACGAAACATAAATATAAAATAGGCTCCTAAAAATAAATGTAGGGGAAAAACTATTTAATTTTAAAAAATCAAAATTGATGTTGTATGGAAAATCTAGGAAAAAAAAAAATCATAGTTAGAGTCATGCTCAAATGACAAAACATCCTTATTTAATGTTCTTCAAACCTAATAGATACATCGTAATATTTCCAGGTCTCGACCTAGTACACCTATCCTAGGCATACTTTAATGTATATATTTTTTTTGAGCCTGTAAATTTACCTTGCAAAAATCATAGTTAGAGTCATGCTCAAATGGCAAAACATCCTTATTTAATGCTCTTCAAACCCAACAGATAGATCGTAATATTTCTAGGTCTCGACCTAGTATACCTATCCTAGGCACACTTTAATGTATTTTTTTTTTTGAGCCTGGGAATTTACCTTGTTTTTATAATCATGAACCATAGCTTGCATTATGTGTTTTTAAAAGCTTTTTGCAATCAAGTGATTTAAACCGATAAATAACGCTCTCAAAACTTGAAGAGCTTTTTTATAAGAGTCGTGGCTTTATGAACTAAGTTACTAGTTATTATGCATGTTAATAAAATAAATGTTCAAAAGAGATAAATTTTTAATGGAACCTTGAGTCTTTACTCAAAACCTTTTGCTATTGAAATCCACAAAAGGTCACCTCGTCACGTGCCATCAAATAACATATCCAAAATCAAAGATTAAAATTGATATAAAACCATAAAAAAACTATTTTAATCTTACAATGAGTCAATTTCTGTTTTCAAAATACAAAATAAGCAAAGGATTGCATGTATTGAGTAACGTGTGTTATCTGTTTTACCAAAGAAACTTAATTTTCAAAAATATTTTTAAAAATTGATATCTCTTTGATTTCATTTCAACAATTAGACTTTGATAGACATGATCATTAAAATGTGTGAGTTAATTTTAAAATAAGAGAATTCTAAAAAAAAAATCATCAACATTTCTTGATTATCCTTGAAAAGTTGAGCAGTCAAGGGCAATACAATGAACCTTGGTAAGGAAAACAAATAATATTCAGATTAGCCGGTGAGAAAAATCAAATGATGAATCAGTGAAATCCGTCAAAGCTATAGCAATGACAAATACCTCTTGATGATAGATAGAAGAATAAGCACGATCAAATCAACTAAGAGCAATGTTGCTCAAAGACAATTTATGATTTAATAAACTTTAATAGTAGTTGAGAGTAACGATGCACTTAAAGGGCATCTTCATGTCTGAGATCTTGGTTTACCCTCTAAAGTATGATTATAACACTGTAAAGATGTGATTGCATGGGTGCATTTAAATAAATACACGCCACTAAGACTGATTGAGAGACAATCTACTTTGAAGCCTATCAATTCAAGTTGCATCTAACCATACTGATTGAGAGACAATCTACTTTGAAGCCCATCAATTCAAGTTACATCTAACCATATGAATATAAGTGATAAAAGGGAATATCATTGATGATGACAATATATTTCTTTTCATGATCTAGTTAGATAGTTTGAGAGAAATTAATTAAAAAGAACATTGAGCATACAACAATAAGCCTTTATTATTTATTTGAATGACTTAACAGTTCCATGAAGGTTGATAATAACATATACTTAAAGAGTATGATTTAAATAAGACAACTTCATAGCTAATTGACAATCTAAGATGAGGTTGATATTAGATGATTGTTGGCAAACTGCACACAGTTGATCAGAGGGCAGTTATTAAAAAATTCAAAAAGTATGATTTATTAAACTTCTTTATGATGAATCAAGCAAAATCACACTTAGAGGCATAATTAGACTTAATAAATAATAAGAGAAGTAATCATCACAGACAGCCAGGATAGGCATTGTATTTATATTTGAGTGGAGGACTGACATATGGTAGACTCGAATGAGCTGGTGAATCAGAAAAACTGAGAAGGCTTTGGATAGCAAATGAAGGCACCCTATATTAATGAAGCATCATAGAAAGGGGTCCATATTTCAAACCAAGTAAAGATATATTCATGTCATATAATCCCAAAGCATTGCATAAATGTTTATGAATTTTTTCAGAAAAAAGTCCTCGATGAAATCAAGCAATATTTTGATGAATTTGAGTTGACAAAGAAAGAATCTTTAAGTCATGATAGCCAGGAAATATCAAGCTAACCCTGCAATCAAGAAGCACTAAATTAAAACCTCACGATCGATAAATATCAGTTTAAGCCTGCCATCAAGAAGGATAGGTCGACCCTGTAATTAGAAAGCACCAAGTTTTCCAATCTTATGATCGAGAAGTATCAAGTCAATCCTGCAATCAAGAAGCACCAATTTCAAATCCTGTGATCGGGAAATATCAACTCAACCCTGCTATTAGAAAGAATAGGAAGACCCTACAATCAAGAAGTACCAATAAATTCAACCATGTCATTAGGAAAAGTCTACAGGTTAACCCTGCAATAAGGAGTCACTAGGAAAGTTTAAAGAGAATTTGATCAAACCCTATTACTAAGAAGAAAAAAAATAAAACACCCTAACATTAGGAATCCTAGTTTTTAAACCCCACAATCAGGAAGAAAAATGAAAAAAAAAACCTACTATTAGGGAATTCTAAAGAAAAGAAGAAATTTCAAACCCGAAAGAATAAGAAAAAGCCTACCATGAAGAATTTGAGTTTTGAGAACCTTGCTATCATGAATCTTAATTTTTAATTCTATAATCAAAATAATTAAAGACACCCTTGGAATGTTGTAGTTGAAGACGATCACTTAGATTCAGGATTTCAGGTCAAATAAGTTGAAAAAAGAAGATAGTTGCGCAAGAGAATAGCTGTGAGAATACAGTTTTTCTATTAAATAAAGATTTTAATTCTGGCTAAAAAAGAATCATTAGATTGAAATTTCAAGTTAATCAAACTGCAGACAAAGAGTTTGGTTTTGGAATTTCAAAATTTGCAGGTCACTTGTGAAAATAAACTAATTTTAGGAAAACATGGATGGTTTTTGAAATTCTTTTTGCAATATGAAAAAAGGTAGGTCGGCCATGAAAATAGGTCAATCTTTGAATGTCAAAAAAGGTAAGTTGCTAGTGAAAATAGATCAATTTTTGAATGAGTAGGTCATTTGTGAAAATAGACTAGTGTTTGAATTTGAATAGGCAAGTCACCCGTGAAAATAGACTAGTTTTGAATTTTAAAATAGACAAGTAGCTCGTATAAACTAATTTCAGGGAAGCATGGATGTTTGCTAAAAAAAATTTTTAGAATTTGAAAATGGTTGGCCACCGTGAAAATATACTAAATTTTTTTAATTTCAAATAGGTAGGTCGCCCATAAAAATAGACCAATTTTAGGGAAGCTTGGACATTTGTTGAGTTTTTTTTAGAATTTAAAAATGATAGGTCACCCATAAAAATATATCAGTTTTTTATTTTCAAAATGGATTAGTTGCCTGTGAAAATAGACCAATTTCAGGAAAGAATGGACGATTGGTGAATTTCTTTTTGAAATTTTAAAAGGGCAGGTTGCCCTTGAAAATATATTAGTTTTTGAAGTTCAAAATAGGTAAGTCGTTTGTGATAATAAATTGATTTTAAAGAGGCATGAATGCTTGCTGAAGTTCTTTTTTGAATTTAAAAGGGGCAGGTCACCCGTAAAAATAAACCAGCTTTTGAATTTCTATATAAGTAGGTCGCCTATTGATTATTACTTAAAAGTGTATTCTTATCATGGTTTTATATCATCATTTTGCACTTGAAGTATCAATAATTCCTTAACAATAACATCTTTTATAATAATAAGTCTCATAATATAAGATACCTTTAATTTATGGTAAATATTTATTTTAAATGCAGGCCTATCACATAAATTAAATAATTGATTGGTGGGTTTAACTATTGAAATTGAGAAGACAAAGCGAGGGCCAAGCTTAGAAAAAAGATGTTGGTTGAATTCATATTGAAACACCATTCGGTTATTGATCATAATTGGAATTGTAGAACTTGGATTCAAGTTTGTTTTATATGGATAAAAAAGCTAAGACATGGGCCTAAAAATTTCATGAGAGTTCAAGATTCAAAATAACCATTTTCAAGTTCAAATTGTAGCAACAACAAAAAAGTCAAAATCTATCCTACAGCCCAAAAACTGTTCAGTATTCAACCCATATCTCAAGTTTTAGAAGTCCAAATGACCTCATTCTTGTTTTGTTAGAAAGCTGATATCCAAATGACCTCATTCTTGTTTTGTTAAAAAGCTGATACAATTTTCCAAAACTTTCATGAATATTATCTTTTCAAATTCAAATGTTAACAATGATGTTTTTGGCAGACAAGAAGATAATGATTGTTACTAAGTCAAGAGGTGGTCATTCACTCAAAAATTAGTTATCAAATCAATAAGACATCTTGATTTTCAGATGAAGATCATGTTATTGCTCTCTTTCTTTATATTCTTGTAATGCTTAAATTTTGCTTTCATTAATTTCTTATTTATGTCTTTTATTTTATTTTCTATACTTATATAATCATGTTCTCCTCTTGTTCATTTTTATTTCTCTTCTTCGTTATGTTTTAGCAAAGTTTATTATGTTAAGGTAAAAAGATTTCACTAATAGTATTAGAATAAGTATAATATTAACTCAATATAAACTTCAATGATTATATCCTAAATAACTTGTTATTAACATGTCTTATTATTTTTATCTTATTAATTCTTAATACCTTACTTGTTAAATGGTTAATCTAGATTTGTGTTGTATAACACTTGGTACAACAAATGCTTGGCACTTTCGTAACCAACCGTATGGTATAACCTACACATGTAATATGAAAGGAACTTGATTTGTTGTTAACATAAGTTAGTATCATGAATTTCAAATAATATTTAAAAGTTTGGTGTTACTTAAATAAGATAATTA